CACACACACACACACACACACACACACACACACACACACACACACACACACACACACACACACACACACACACACACACACACACACACACACACACACACACACACACACACACACACACACACACACACACATCTTCGTCAGTTTGCGACGCGTATGCCGTGCTGTGATGCGACACCGTGGCACGCTGGCGCTGATGTGTTTAACCATGCAACGCTGACACGTAACGCTACCTCGTTCTGTGTTATATCGGCATCGCGATGACGTCACGTGCCCCGTAATAATCTATGCGCGAGCGATATACGCGGAGTGTTTCAATTGCCACCAATTACCAAGATGCATTCGTATTATCGAACGTAAATAATTCAGTTTCGTTAGAACGTTTCGGTCGAGTTTACGATGATTGTGCGGCATTAGGAAGGACTTCACTTGTTATTAGCGTAAGTTTGACGTGGTTCTGTGCTGTCCGTGGTGCTCCGACATTATACACTGCCGCATATACTGTAGCCCAAGCAGCATAAAGTATTGAGAGGTGATAAATTCCGTCCGGATTTTATCAAAAATTTCTGGAAGCAGCTCTTCTTGGAATCATCACAGAATGTGTTACGACGTATACGTCGGCCTGGTTAAATACCCACCGATCTACTTGTAGCGCGGCAGTGAGGACTATAACGTTTTATTAAATGCAAAATTTACGAACTGGTTATAAACGTTTGTGTGGTGCGGAAAGTATTATCATAATACCGCTCCCCGTGCTACAAACCTGACTCCCTCAATTCCTCAGTATATAGGCCTACGTGGCGTATGGAGTATGCATGTATGTGAGGTATATATAGTATGTTTATGTGTGTAGTATATGTATATGAACTATATGAAGATTTTTAGTAGTTAATAATTCCAATATAAATAGAATTTATTTACAATATATAGCAATACACGTGCACGCACACGAACACGCGCGCACACGCACGCACGTACGCGCGCACGCACACACACGCAAACACGCACACGCACGCACGCACGCACGCACGCACGCACGCACACACACACACACACACACACACACACATGTATACATATATTATCATATATGGACACGCACGATCCCACCGTCTTTGCGCTACCTCAAAATTAACTATTAGTATCCACATATAAACAGCTTTAGAAATTGTTTACAGGAAGTCGCGTATTTCCAGTGCTGTCGCCTATTTACGTTGCGTATTATGGGTACAAACGCGTACTATAGGGGGGATAATTCGGCACATATACCTACATGCATTTACATACGCACGCATGCATATGTACGCATGCACGCTATAGTTGTTTCTGCCACGTTATGAACTACACCCGCGCACTTCAAGTGAAACTCTCGCTCGCCGCTCTGCGCGTGCGACAGAAAGGCTATAGAACTAATGGATTAATCGGGCGCGGAGCAGCGATGTTGGTCGATGCTGCGCCGGTCACGTTCGCATTGCCACAAAATCGCTGCCGATTACAAGCCACCGAGCTCAATGATTCGCGCCATTACAGATCGACGGCACCACTGCGCATGCGGGCACTAGGTGGGCATCGCGATGCTATAAGGTGCGGTAATACCGTCGCAGCGGCCGGCGCACGTGCGTAAATTGGCGCTTATTCGCGATATAAATCTCCTCCGTTTCGCAGTTTTCGGCAGAGTAGGTGCTTGTACGAGAGAAGTAGATAGATAGATAGAGAGAGAGAGAGAGAGAGAGAGAGAGAGCGAGAGAAAGAGAGAGAGAGAGAGAACGAGAGCGATAGAGAAGAAAGCGAGAAGGGAGCGCGTGATCACGTGTGATCTAGGAAAGACGTTGCGTCACCACTAGTAAGCGCATCACAGTAGAACGTTAACGCGCAAGCAGCAGACGCACACGCGCACGCACGCACGGACAAGCAGTCAGTCACACGCGCGCACGCACGGACTAGCAGTCAGTCACACGTTTGCATACGGACAAGAAGCAGACAAACGCGCGCACGCAAGGACTAGTAGTCAGTCAGCGCCGCGGTACGGGAATACGGTGCAAGCTCGACGAACCTCTATCAGACAACAGCAACAACAGATAGCAACAGGCAGTAACAGGCAGTAACAGCAGGCGACATCGAGCCGTCAACATGCTAGCGAGCGCAGTCCGAGCCGCCACCGTGCTAGTGTGCGTCGTACTGCTGATGGTGACAAGAGCTGCAGCAGAAGCAGAAGACGCCATATACTACGACGCGGTGAGTGCATCCGTCCGTCTATCCGTCCGTCCGTCTCTCCGTCCGTCCGTCCATCCGTCCGTCCATTCATTCCTACTGTTCGCCCATTCGTCTCTCCGTCCGTTCGTCTCTCCGTTTGTCCGTCTCTCCGTCCGTCCGTCTCTCCGTCTTTCCGTCCGCCCGTCCATCCGTCCGTTCGTCTCTCCGTCCGTTCGTCACTCCATTCGTCTCTCCATCCGTCCGTCCGTCCGTTCGTCCATCCGTCCGTCCATTCATTCCTACTGTTCGTCCATTCGTCTCTCCGTCCGTCCGTCTCTCCATCCGTCCGTCTCTCCGTTCGCCCGTCCATCCGTCCGCCCATTCCTCCCTACTGTTCGTCCGTTCGTCTCTCTGTCCGTCCGTCACTCCGTCCGTCCGTTATTGTCCCTACGTTCCTTCGTCTATTTGTCCGTCACTTTGTCCGTCCGCCTGCCCTCCGTCCCTCCGTCCGTCCGTCCTTTCGTCCGTCTCTCCGCCCGTCCGTCCATCACTGTCTTTGTCCGTCTATCCACTCATTTCTCCCTTATATTAGTCTGTCCGTCCGTCCGTTCGTCCGTCCGTCTCTCTGCCTTTCCGCCCGTGAGTCCTTCGGCCCACCCGCCATTTGTCCGTCCGTCGGATTCGTCGCTTTTATGAGGTCTAACGTAGAGTCGGTGTTACTACGTGCATCGCGCTATAGCGCTGCCGCTGCCGTGCAAGTACGACTCGTTAACGACGAGCAAACACGAACACCCCGCATCACAGGACACAGGGCAGCCGCACATCGGTTATCCTATCCATCAGCGTTTTCCGATAGGTGATCGATGCTTTTGACGGCCGTTAAATATCAATTATACGCGGTTTCAACTCCGGTGCGCGTCGAGGTTTAGTTATTGTGTACGGATGACATGGTGTAGGGGGTTGGGTCCGTTGTCAGGAGCATCATGAATAACTGTCACATCGTTAAATCTAATATGTCGTGACTTTTGAAGTGAGGTCTCGTACATCAGTTGTGACATTTTATGATTCATGATGTCACAATTGCTTATGATGTTTCTGAAAACGAGCCCCAGCTGTACGGTCATGCCATGGCGGTCTGCAGAAAGGATTGCGCGTTCAGGCAATTTTAGCTAGAATGGCAGCGGAGGATCTACATCTTTGTACATACGCACATTCTTTGAGTTCATCGTTATATATGATGACGGTATATCAACTACAAATCTTATGTAGATTGGCTAACGCTCTATTAGGAGTGTTTCCAACTTTGATATCATTAATGATTAATGATTAATGATTAATGATTAATGATTAATGATTGATAATCCTAACCCTAACCATAACACTAACCCTAACCCTAACCCTAACCTAAATGACATTAAACCACAAACTAATATATGACCATATATATATATATATATATGTTATTATGACCATTAATCACATTAAAGTTGGGTACACTCCTAATGGAGTATGTAATGCGCATCGTGTGTGGTTCAACCACACAGTAATGGCTTCTTTGAGAGTTCACCACATGAGCCGGCAGGCTGTCTCAGCTTAATGTGTATGTGCGTATACATTGTGGTGTGCGCCTGTTTTGTAGTATACGTTGTAGTTATTACTAGCACTTGTTCTATGGTAACGTTGAAAACTAGACGCGAAGAAGTCAACGTCTGTTGATTATTGTAATATGGGAACTAGATTCAGACGGGCGCAGTCGGGTATTACAACGTACACTACAGTACAGCTACATTACAATACTCATGTACGTGTGACATACAGGGCGCGTATGTGTACACAGCGTTCACTTAGAACAGGGCGATGACGGAAAACCTATCCCAAATATGTCAACGAAACTTGAATCGGGCGAACAAGGAAAAACGCGTGCAGCTGTTTACACTTTTCACCTGTTGTTTAATTATATTGGCCAAAAATCACGCAAGCAGATATCGTCGCTTGGCTATCCCGCGACCAAATACGTACGTATCAGCTACTCAGCTTTCCAGCGCATACGCTGAGCGATGCGTTATTATATATATATAATTATATATATATATATATATATATGTGTGTGTGTGTGTGTGTGTGTGTGTGTGTGTGTGTGTGTGTGTGTGTGTGTGTGTGTGTGTGTGTGTGTGTGTGTGTGTCGTGTCGTGTGTGTGTGTGTGTGTG